ATGCTCTGCACTCATATGGTTGCTGTCCAGTGTGAACTCTGAGGTGTACAGTGAACTGAGACCATGTACGAAAGGACATCCCACATTCTCTGCACTTATATGGCTTTTCTCCTGTGTGAATGCTGTTGTGTTGATTGAGGTTAGACTTGGAACGGAAGGATTTCCCACAATGTCTGCACTCATATGGTTTCTGTCCAGTGTGAACTCTGAGGTGTACATTGAGCTGAGCCCTTGTACGAAAGGACATCCCACATTCTCTACACTCATACGGCTTCTCTCCGGTGTGAACTCTGAGGTGTCTAGTGAGCTGAGTCCTTGTACGAAAGGACATCCCACATTCACTGCACTTATATGGCTTTTCTCCTGTGTGAATGCTGTTGTGTTGATTGAGGTTAGACTTGGAACGGAAGGATTTCGCACAATGTCTGCACTCATATGGTTTCTGTCCAGTGTGAACTCTGAGGTGTACACTGAGCTGAGCCCTTGTACGAAAGGACATCCCACATTCTCTACACTCATACGGCTTCTCTCCGGTGTGAACTCTGAGGTGTCTAGTGAGCTGAGTCCTTGTATGAAAGGACATCCCACATTCACTGCACTTATATGGCTTTTCTCCTGTGTGAACTCTGTTGTGTTGTTTGAGGTTAGACTTGGAGCTGAAGGATTTCCCACAATGTCTGCACTCATATGGTTTCAGTCCAGTGTGAACTCTGAGATGTTCCATGAGGTGGGTCTTCTGACGAAAGGATATCCCACATTCACTGCACTTATACGGCTTTTCTCCTGTGTGAACTCTGTTGTGTTGTTTGAGGTTAGACTTGGAGCTGAAGGATTTCCCACAATGTCTGCACTCATATGGTTTCAGTCCAGTGTGAACTCTGAGGTGTTCCATGAGGTGGGTCTCCTGACGAAAGGATATCCCACATTCACTGCACTTATACAGCTTTTCTCCTGTGTGAACTCTGTTGTGTTTTTTGAGGTTAGAGTTGTAACTGAAAGACTTCCCACACTGTTTGCACACATATGTCTTCTCTCCAGTGTGAACTCTCTGGTGTCTAACGAGTGAAGGTCTTTTTCTGAAGAACTTCCCACATTCATTACACTGATACTGCTTTTCTCCAGTGTGAACTCTATGTCGAATGACCTTCAAGTTTTGTATAAACACTTTCCTACATTTGTTACACTCATAAATCAGTTCTCCAGAACACACACCCTGACACTGAGCAACTTTCAGGTTGTGGCTGGCAGCGTTTCCACATTCATCCCACCGGTGATGACTTTTTCCACGGAGAAATTCCTGTGAAATCTCACTGCCACAGGGTAGCTCCTCAGTGTTGAGAGTGGCCTGGTGCTGGGGAAGCTCTGAGTTGGACTGCAAGTCTTCCCCAACCTCCCTGCTGGTTGAAGGCACCGAAGGGAAGGAGAAGCTGCACCTGCTCACAAAAGAGGCCCCGTCCATAGCTTCTTTCCAGGGCCCCTCTCCACATTCATTCTTTTGTTGCTGGTGAGGGTTTACACTGAAACAGAATTCTCCAACACATGCGTCGCTACAGAAGGCTTTCTGCTCAAAGTATGCTGCATGTGACCCAGTCGGGTGCAAAATATGTTGTAACAGAGAGAAACACTGCTTACAGAGATGGTTCTTCTGGGTGACTGGAGCTGTCTTAGAGGTCCTGACCTGTAACTTGCCTTGTATACATACTTGCTGATCAAAAGAGGCCTCCTCATCTTCCATTTTATGCCAACAACCTGAAAAGTGAGAAATGGTGAGGAAATGAATGTTGAATGTGGTGGCAGGGGGAAGACCCATTGCAAAAGTGTGTTACACATCACACGTTGGTTCCATGCAATTGTCTTAAAATAAGAGATGTGCAGGAAGGATTAATAAGAGGCTCTTGTGACTTTCCACGCTAATGAAGATCACAAAACAGGGAGGCCTCACCAGAAATATGACACAAACATGGCAAGCACCACATGGATGAGAATATGGATCTCCAGCCCATCCTTCAACTAACAGCATTCTGCACGTATTGTTTACCGGGGGTGGGCGGTGGGGGGAAGCTGTGGAAGAAGTTGATTAGGTCTTACTCCAAGTAAAATTCAATAAAGGAGTAGCTGGTTTCAAGGACTAATTAATTAGCACATCTATGCACATATCACATGTACAAGTCAACGTTGCAGATTACTGCAGAGGCACCAATGCAGATGAACAGGTGATGAAGAAGTCAGTAGTCTGCACTGGGCCAGAGCTAAACAGCTTGCTATAGTATTCAGGGAAGAGAATATTACATACATTTGAATGGGGGCCTTACCAAAATAGCCCATGGTTTATGTAGGTAAAGACCATAATGTGGCACAAGAACGTGTACCAAGAGAAAGAGGGCAGAAGTAGAAGTCATGCATGTGGACACTGTCAGCTTCCCATGAAGAGAAAGTGCAAGCTGGGACCCATTAAACTCACTGCTAGGCTCTTGACTCCCTGACACTTCCTGTACTTTTTGAGGTTACGGGTGTTAGGGATGTTCCTGGAGTCCTTTACTCAGGGCTCCCCATCCAGCTCATCCCTGGCAGCCACAGCACATTTGACAGGACAGAGGGGGACATTAGCAGAGGCCATGTTCTGGCTGTGGGAGAGAGAAAGCTACGCCTGAGGTGTAAAGAAAGAGAGGTCATCACCTCAGGACACTGGGAGAATGTGAAGGTCTTACCTACAGATGATACAAGGGCAAACACTTCCAGCATCACATCATAGTACAGAAGTCTCTGAGCATCATCCAGGATCACCCACTCCACTTCAGAGAAGGCAATGGCCACGTCCTCAAAGTTCACATCCTGTCATAATTGGGACAGTACAGCCCATGATCAGATTCACTCCTAAGATTATAAGTCTGTCATATTCCCCACCCATGTGCTCTTTGCACGCTTCACATCCGAGAAAATACCAGGCCTTCATCCCACGAAAGCCACTGTCTTCTTATTGAACAACACTTCTCTCACACAGCTTCTTTCCCAGACGCACAACTTCAAAGGTAGTGCAAATTGTCGTGGTGTGGATATATTATTTTCTAATCACCTCTTTTCCAAAAATATAGGTCCCTCCCTCCATAATCTATTTCTCTCTTACCCTTCACCCTTACCCATGCCAGTGGAGATTTACAAGCCTGAGTAACACTGATGAATGCTATCTCATTCCTATCAACCAGTGTGTCACTCCCAACAACAAAAAGCAGGTGGTTAGTTAAATGGCACCTAAGCTCTTAACCTAGAATGTGGCACACACACACCCCTCTTTACAGGCAATTACCCTAAAATTGACCTTACTGTTCCATCCAGGCACCACCAGAAATGGACTCTTCCTTCATTCACTCTTATGTCAATGTCATGGTGCTGTGGCCATGAATTCACATTCCCTCTCCAAGTGCACATCACTCCATCTACCACACCTCTCTCAAACCGGCACTTCCACAGCTCCTGCCCCCATACTCATCTCCCGGCCTTTACTTATTACTCAGCATGTGTGGTCCAGAGGACGGTTGCCAAACTGAATCAGGATCACGTACTGCCCAGTATCTGATAGTCCACACTCATAGTGGCAGCCTTGAGTGGTGCTATGTAAGTCTCTCTCCATGACTGCTTTTTTTTTTCCTTCAACCCCAACTATTAAGAACAACAATCAGGCCGAAACCGGTTTGGCTCAGTGGATAGAGCGTCGGCCTGCGGACTCAAGGGTCCCGGGTTCGATTCCGGTCAAGGGCATGTACCTGGGTTGCAGGCACATCCCCAGTAGGAGATGTGCAGGAGGCAGCTGATCGATGTTTCTCTCTCATCGATGTTTCTAACTCTCTATCTCTCTCCCTTCCTCTCTCTGTAAAAAATCAATAAAAAATATATTAAAAAAAACAAACAAACAAACAAAAAAAAAACAACAACAATCAGATCTCAGATATCCATAGCCCACCTCCTGTTATGCTGCACTTGATGTCCCTTCACTAGTCACAGCCAACATCCCTCACTTAACCTTCACTCAAGTCCCAGCCCCGATGGCCCTCTGCACCATGCCCAGTGAGTCTCACTCAAGCCTCTAACCCAGTGATGGCGAACCTATGACACGCATGTCTGAGGTGACACATGAACTCATTTTTTGGTTGATTTTACTTTGCTAAATGGCATTTAAATATATAAAATAAATATCAAAAATATAAATCTTTGTTTTACTATGGTTGCAAATATCAAAAAATTCCTATATGTGACACGGCAACCAGAGTTAAGTTAGGGTTTTTCCAAATGCTGACACGCCAAGCTCAAAAGGTTCGCCATCACTGCTCTAAGCTAATCCACAAAACGAACTTCAACTCCCCACAGCCAGGCCACACTGAGGGTCACAACAACATCCTGGTGAGAGTTTAGAAAACGTGTATGTACCAACCCTAGACTCTTGTTATTTGAATTACTCTTCGGCCTCCAATTAATCTCAGGTCACTCATCTTTTGAAGGTATTTGCCACTGCAAAATGATTATTTCTCCACCACACTCTACATGACAACTTCTGTCCTTATGACAACCACCTCCCACAGTGGCCACAGCATGAAAGCCAGTCCTGGTGCAGAATGTGAGGCTATTGCTAGGCCAGCAAGCATTCTACCCTCTGGCCTCGCCCATAGTGTGCAGCGGTTGCTGGGCGCCAGGGAGCCTCCCGCCAGCTGGGTGCTAAAGGAGTCGTGGCTATCCAGACATCCGATAAGAGGACTCCTAACAAGATATTGTCACTGTAACCCTTAAATATCTGCATCATCACAATTACCTCTAAATTTCACCGGGTACATAAAGAAATCTTTGCCCAGTCCGAGGAGCAGCAGCCACGCGCAGCCAGCCCCCATCAAAGGAGTAGCAGCTACGTGAGCAGTCCACCCCCGTCCAAGGAACAACAGCCACGCAAGTAGCCCGCCACCGTCTGAGGAGCAGTAGCATGCGCAGCCTGCCCCCATCCGAGAAGCAGCAGCCTCTTGAGCAGCCCACCCCAGTCTGAGGAGCAGCAGCTGTGCGAGCAGCCCTCCCCCACCCACCAGAGGAGCCACCACTGCTGCGAACAGCACCCATTATAGGAGCCACTGCCAACTGAGAAGCAGTTGCTGCTGTGAAGGCCCAGTGGGCAAATGCAGCCCGAGGAGCCACTGCCACCCAAGGAACAGGCCCTGCAAGAATCCATATCTAGATCTGTCGGTGAGATAAAAAATGGGTACACAAAGAAACCCCCAAAGGAAAGAAAAGGAGGCATCACCAGATAAGCAGCTAAGTAGAACAGAGGCATGCAATATGTCAGAAAAAGAATTCAGAATAAGCGTCATACAGTTCATAAACAGGATGGATGAAAAAAAGAAATAACTTATGTAAGAATCAAGAAGAAATAAAGAATGATATAGCTGCAATAAAAAATACCATGTAATGTTTCAGCAGTAGACTAGAAGTGGAAGACCAAATTAGTGAATTAGAAGACAGGGAAGCAGAATACAACCAAACTGAACTGAAATTGGAAAAAAAAATTAAAAGGCAGCAGGAGAACCTAAGGGAGCTATGGGACAACATGAAACGATCAACATACAAATAATAGGGGTGCCAGAACAACAGGAAGAGGAACAATGGTTAGAAAACCCATTTGAAGAAATAATGTCAGAAAACTTCCCTGGCCCTGACCAGTTTGGCTCAGTGGCTAGAGCTTCCGCCTGTGGACTGAAGAGTCCCGGATTAAATTCCGGTGAAGGGCATGTACCTTGTTTGCAGGTATATCTCCAGTAGGGGGTGCACAGGAGGCATCTGGTCGGTTTCTCTAACTCTCTATCCCTCTCCCTTCCTGTCTGTAAAAAATCAATGAAATATATTTAGAAAAAAAAAGAAAACTTCCCTGATGTGGAAAAGAAAATAGTCATGCAAGCACAGAGTCCCAAACAAGATGAACCCGAAAAGACCCACACCAAGACACATCATAATTACCATGGCAAATGTTCAGGACAAAGACAGAATCATAAAGGATGCAAGAGAGAAACAGAAAGTTACGTACAAGGGCTCTAAACCATTTAGATTATCAAATGACTTCCCAACAGAAACACATCAGGCCAGAAAAGAATGGAAGGAAATTTACAAAGTGATACAAAGAAAGGGACTAAATCCAAGAACACTCTCTCCAGCAAGGCTATCATTGGAAATTGAAGGGCAAATAAGGATCTTCACATACAAAAAAAAGCTAAGGGAATTTATCACTACCAAGCCAGCAATGCAAGAAATGCTAAAGGGAATGGTGTAAAAAGAAGAAATAACAAGGGAAGAAGGAACACAGGCACAAAAAATAAAAATGGCTACAAATAACTATCAGTAACTTTAAACATAAACGAACTAAATGCTCCAATCAAAACACATCGAGCAGCTGAATGGATAAAAAAAAAACATGACCTATATATATGCTGTCTACATGAGACACACCTCAGAACAAGGGATTCACACAGACTGAAAGTGAAGGGATGGAAAAATATCTTTCAGAAAAATAGAAATGAAAAAAAAAAGTCGGGGTAGCAATATTTACATCTGACAAAATAGACCTCAAAATAAGGGCCATAACAAGAGATAAAGATGGCCACTTCATAATATTAATGGGAACGATATAACAAGAGGAGACAACCCTGATAAAAGTATATGCACCCAATGCAGGAGCACCAAATACATTTAAAAAAACTCCTGGAAGATATCAAAGGAGAGATCGACAATAATACAATCATAGTAGGGGACTTTAATACACCACTGACATCACTGGATCAATGCTCTAGACAAAAAAATCAGCAAAGAAACAGCAATCCTAAATGACTCACTAGATCAGATGGACTTAATTGACATCTTCAGAACATTTCACCCCAATGCCATGGAATTTATGTTCTTCTAAGTACACATGGGACATTTTAAAAAATAGACCACATATTGGGTCACAAGCAAAGTTTCCTCAAATTGAAGATTGAAATCATATCAAGCATCTTCTCAGACCACAATGGCATAACATCCTATCTAATAAAAGAGAAACATGGTAATTAGCCATAACTTCGCTGCCTTTCCCGTTGGCTAATAAGGGCGATATGCAAATTAACTGACAACCAAGATGGCAGCCGGCAGCCAGGCACCTGACGCGAACAGGAGGCTTGCTTGCTCCAGTGATGGCGGAAGCCAAGCTTCCCCGCCTGCTGCTGCTGGACTCTGAGCTGCTCTCTAAGAAACATTGCTACAAATATAGAAGCTAAACAAAACCCGAGATACCTGCTTTCAGCCAGCCGGGATCTCAGAGCTGGAGTCGCAACAAAGTTTCAAATACAGAAGGTAAACAAAGCCCAGAAACCTGCTTTCAGCAGCCGAGGTCTCACAGCTAAAGCCGGCTCTCAGCTCCAGTGACAGCCATAGAAGGTAAATAAATCCCAGAATAAAAAATAAAAAAAAAAGGAAAAAAGGAGAGGTTGGGAACTTCAGTCACCCGCCAGCCTGAAAACGGCCCTCAGCCCCTCACCCAGACTGGCCAGGCACCCCAGTGGGGACCCCCACACTAAAGGGGGTGTGACCAGCTGCAAACAGCCATCATCCCCTCACCCAGGCTGGCCAGGCACCCCAGTGGGGGACCCCCACCCTGAAGGGGGTGTGACCAGTTGCAAACAGCCATCATCCCCTCATCCAGGCTGGCCAGCCACCCAAGCGGAACCCCCACCCTGATCCAGGACACCCTTCAGGGCAAACCAGCAGGCCCCCACCCGAGCACCAGGCCTCTATCCTATATAGTAAAAGGGTAATATGCCTCCCAGCACTGGGATGAGTGGAGCCGCGAGTCCTCCTAGCTCCGGGATCAGCGGAGCAGCGAGGCCTCTTAGCACTGGGATCACTGGAGCCACAAGGCCTCCCGGCCCATGGAGCAGCGTGACAGGGGGCAGCGCCCAAACCACCTGATCGCTCTGTGGCTCTGTGGCTCTGTGTGTGACGGGGCGGCGCCACAACCTCCCTATCCGCCCTGCTCTGTTTGTGACAGGGGAGGCGCCCCAACCCCCTGATCGGCCCTGCTCTGTGCCTGATAAGGGGAAGCTCCCCAACCCCTTGATGGGCCCCTGCACTCTGTGTGACAGGGTGTGGCGCCCCAACCCCCCCATGGGCCCCTGATCTGTGTGTGACGCGGTGGAGCCACAACCTCCCCATCAGCCCGGCCCTGAGTGTGACAGGGGGGAGTGCCCCAACCCCCTGATTGGCCCTGCTCTGTGGGTGAGAGGGGGCGGCGCCCCAACCCCCCAATCGGCCTTACCCTGAGCGTGACTGAGGGTGGCATCGCAAACTCCTGATCGGCCCTGCTCTGTGCGTGACAGGGGGGAGCTCCCAACCCCCTAATAGGCCCTGCTCTGTGCGTGACGGGGGCAGCGACCCAACCCCCTGATCCGCCCTGCTCTGTGCGTGACGGGGGTGGTGCCGCAACCTCCCTATCGACCCTGCCTTGAGTGTGACAGGGGGCGGCACCCCAACCCCCAATCGGCCCTACCCTGAGCGTGACTGAGGGTGGCATCGCAACCTCCTGATCTGCCCTGCTCTGTGCATGACAGGGGGCGGTGCCCCAACTCCCCAATCGGCCCTGCTCTGAGCCCGACCAGGAGCCGCGGGGCAGGCACCTAGGGAATGTGCCTGCCCTCTGCCACGCAGGAATGGGCCTAAGCCAGCAGGTCGTTATCTCCTGAGGGGTCCTAGACTGAGAGAGGGCACAAGTGGGGCTGAGGGACACCCCCCTCCCCAGTGCACAAATTTTTGTGCACCGGGCCTCTAGTTAGAAATAAACTACAATAAAAACAATCCAAAAAATTCAAACACTTGGAAGCTGAATAGCATGCTATTAAACAATGACTGGGTTACCAAAGAGATCAAAGAAGAAATTAAAAGCATCACGGAAACTAATGATAATAAAAACACAACAATCCAAAATCTATGAGAAACAATGAAAGTAGTCCTGAGAGGGAAGTTTATAGCTCTACAGGCTACCTCAAAAAACAAGAAAAATGGTAGTAAATCATCTACTCTACCACTTAAAGAATTAGAAGAAGAGCAACAAGAAAAGCCCAGAGTGAGCAGACGGAAGGACATAATAAAGATCAGAGCAGAAATCAATGACATGGAAACCAAAAAAACAATTCAAAAGATCATTGAAACCGAGAGCTGGTTCTTTAAAAGGATAAACAAGATTGAGGAACCTCTAGAGAGACTCAACAAGAAGCAAAGAGAGAGGACCCAAATAAACAAAATCAGAAATGAAAAGAGGCAAAATTACATCAGACCCCACAGAAATACAAAGGATTGCTAAAAAATACTATGAACAACTCTATTCCAACAAACTAGACAACCTAGAGGAAATGGACATATTCCTAGAAAAATACAACATTCCAATACTCAATCAGGAAGAATCTAAAAATCACAATAGGCCAATAACTATAGAAGAAATTGAAGCAGTCATCAAAAAGCTTCCAGCAAACAAAAGCTCGGGGCCAGACGGCTTCACTGGGGAGATTTACCAAACATTCAATGAAGAACTAAAACCTATGTTCCTCATACTACTCCAAAAAAGTCAAGCGGAAGGAACACTTTCAAGTTCATTCTATGAAGCCAGCATCACCCTAATACCAAAACCAGATAAAGACAACACAATGAAAAGAATTACAGGCCAATATCCTTCATGAACAGATGCCAACATCCTCAATAAAATTCTAGCAAATTGGATCCAGCAGTACATCAGAAAGATCATACACCATGACCAAGTAGGATTTATCCTGGGGATGCAAAGATGGTACAACAACCGCAAATCAATAAACGTGATACATCACATTAAAAAACTGACACATAAAAATCACATAGTTATATCAATTAATGCAGGAAACGCATTTGACAAAATCTAACACCCCTTCTTGATAAAAACTCTCAGCAAGGTGGGGATAAAAGATCATATCTCAACATAATAAAAGCCACATATAACAAACCCACAGCCAACATCATACTCAATGGGCAAAAACTAAAACTATTTTCCCTAAGAACAGGAACCAGACAAGGATGCCCACTCTCACCACTCCTACTCGACTGGAAGTACTAGCCATTGCAATCACACAAGAAGAAGGAATAAAAGGCATACAAATTGGAAAAGAAGACGTAAAACTGTCCATATTTGTAAATGACATGATACTGTACGGAGAAATTCCTAAAGACTCCATCAAAAAATTATTAGACTTAATAAATGAATTTGGCAAGGTAGCAGGATACAAAATTAACACCAAGAAATGTATGGAATTTCTATACACCAATAGTGAACTTACAGAAAAAGAGACTAAAAAAGCAATCCCGTTGACCATCGCACCAAAAATAATTAAGATACCTAGGAATAAACTTAACTAAGGAGGTAAAAGACCTATACATGGAAATCTATAGGGAACTGAAAAAAGAGATAGAAGAAGACATAACCAGACGGAAGAACAGACTCTGCTCATGCATTGTTAGAATCAACATCATTAAAATGTCCATACTACCCAAAGCAATCTATAGATTCAATGCACTTCCCATTGAAATACTAACGGCATACTTCACAGATCTAGAACAAACATTCAAAAAAATTCAACTGGAATAAAAAAAGACCCCGAATAGCTGCAGCAATCCTGAGAAAGAAGATCAAAGTAGGTGGGATCTCAATACCAGATATCAAGCTGTATTACAAAGCCACTGTATTCAAAACAGCTTGGTACTGGCTCAAGAACAGACATA